CCGAAACAATTACTAGTTGAATGGCTCCTCTTCCACATATTTGACAAGTTGTCCTCTTGATTCTGAGAAGAGAAGGGCTTTTTATTATTTTAAGCCATCTTGTGCTCCACAAGAATAGCTTTGAACTTGAAATTAAAAAAAAAACAGAATAGCTTTGGAATTGAAATTCAAAAAAAATAAGAAGAATAGCTTTGCGTTGCTTCTTCCTTTTTCCAAATTCTACTCTCTTCCTTTAAGTGAAGAGATCTTTGAAGTTGAACTTCTCCTAATACATAGTTGGCATTCCCACTATCCACAATCCATGTTCCATCAGTAGAAGAAATAACGGCAAGAGATTCCATAAATTTATCTAATGTTGCAATTGTACTCTAAGCAGTGTTCCAAAAAGCGGACCGCCCAGCGCCTAGGCGGATCTAGGGGCCTAGGCGCATCGCCCAGGCCTAGACGCCCTAAAAACGCCGTCGTCCCTGGCCGCCCAGGTCATGCGCCCCGCCCAAAGGCGGAAAAAGACTTTGGTGGGGACAGTTTTTGTCCCTTTTTTTTATACTAAAGGGTCAAAAATGGGGTTTTAGGTCCTTTTGAAATCTAAAATTTATTGGAGCCCATTTTAAAGAGAGAAAGCCCCCAAAAAACTAGTTTTTTGGTAATTCATAAGGATCAAAGGGTTTCTCAAAGTTATGAGAAATTGATCGAAACATCAATCATTGATATTAGATTTAATTTTTTATGCTTTATAAATCTATTGGGGTCTTTTTTTAGAAGATTTTGAGTCCTCAAAAGCATCTTTGAGGTGGAAGTTTGGAGATTGAATAATCAAACTCAAGTAAGTGATCTTTTTTTATTGCTTGTATAAATTGCATTATTTTGAAATGTCTTCCTCGGGATCTAATAGGCGTGGTGATTCCCGATTGGAAGTATGGCTACAACCCAGATCCTAATGATAAAAATTGCATAAGATGCAAGTTTTGTGAGAAGGGTCCAAAAAAGGGTATTAACCGGTTCAAGAAACATCTTGTCGGTATCGGGGGGATGTTGCCCAATGTAAAAAAACTCTTGATGTCGTTAAAGAGGAAATAACCAATTTTTTTAATGTGGTAAAAATGAAAAAAGATGAGAGATTGCCTCTATAGCAGAGATTAGGGGGTTCAGGTCAATTATGATGATGATAATAGTGATGAGGATGGGATTGGGGAGGGATGTCAAAAGGTAGAACAATCCATTATTAGGGGAAAGGGAAAGGGAGTTGTAATTACTTCTAGTTCTAGTTCTGAGAACAAGAAGCCTCGGGTGAGAGGCCCTATGGATAGTTTTTTGCCGTGGCCTGACCCTGAGGTTGCAGGAGAGAAAACAAAGAAGCAAACTACCATTGAAAATAGTATGACGAAGGAAGAGAGAGATAGAGCTGCTTATTATCTTGCTACATGGTTTTATGAGGTGGGCATTCATTTCAATACAGCTCGCTTAAGCAGCTTCTACACCTCAGTAGAGGCAATTGACAAATTTAGGCCTGGGATGAAACCACCAACCCCATATGAGCTTCAGAACCTCTTTTGAAAAAGGCGGTGAGTGTCATGAAGGAAGCTGTAGAAGTTAAGAAGGATGCATGAGCTCAATATGGGGTTTCTATTATGACTGATGCTTGGAGTGATAGGAAGAGAAGAAGTCAGAGGAATTTGCTTGTGAATTGTCCTTAAGGGACTGTTTTTTTTAGGTCTATTGATGCCTCTGATCATATCCATGATGCCCAAGAAAGAGATTGTGAGGCCTGGGGTCACGAGATTTGCAACCTGGTACTTATGCCTAGATAACATGCATTCGAGGATAGTGCACTTGAGGCAGATGTTTACCTCAGATGACTGGAGAGCATGCAAGTGGTCCAAGGATCAGGTTGGTGGAAATATTATCCTTTTTAAGGCTTTTTGGCGAGGGGTAAAGGGTGCTCTTAAGGTATTTTTTCCTCTTATTAAAGTCCTTTGCATAGTTGATAGTGACAAGCGTTCTATGGGCTATATATATGAGGCTGTGGAGAAATGCAAAAGAGAGATAGCCCAAAATTTTGATAATGATGGGAACTGCTACAAACCTGTTTTGGAGATTATTGATGAGAAGTGGGATAAGAAGCTACATCGGCCATTGTATGCTGCTGGTTATTATTTGAACCCACCTTTTTTTTATGTTGACAAGGATATACACACAAATGACGCAATTATGACTGGATTTAATAAGTGTAGATATGTGTTAGTCCCTGATACTGATAGGCAAGATATTGTATGCGTTGA